GGCGGCCGGTCTCAAAAAGGACAAAAAAAAAAAAAAAAAAATCCTGCAAGGAAACAAACTTCTATGAGGGGTAGAGCCCCAGCCACAACTAGTGGAAAATTCATACTCCAGGAATTATAGTACAGTCTGAAAGAGACTTTAAATTAAATGTGTATTAAATGTCCTAAGAAATAAATGAAGAGTAGAGAATGGAAACCATAAGGCAAAAGTATATGCAATCAAAGTAGAGGAGGCAGATTTGAAAAAGAAATTATTACTAAAAACTAACAAGGTTATTACAACATATAGATACCAATATTTTCTTTTGTCCAAGTGCTGGTCATTGGAATTATATAACCACAGTCTGTACTTTTGCTTGAAATAGGAATGGAATTTGCCAGTGTTGACAAATGCAATAGCAAAATGATACTACGTAAGCTTAGTAAACATTCTTTTCCCTTAAGGAAATCTGACAAAACACATGAAGTCCAAGGCACATAGCAAGAAATGTGTGGATTTAGGCGTCTCAGTAGGTTTAATAGATGAACAAGATACAGAAGAATCAGGTAAGGCTTTATACCATATATTTTTCATAAATGCTATTTACAATGTACTATTTTTTTTTTTTTTGCATCCATACTCTTCTTTCCCCTCCCACTGATACTGCTTACTTCCCATTTTCATTACGTCTTATTTATGCTGTGCAATAAATTCCTAATCAGTTGTCCGGTCTCTAGTAGTCTTCCTTCTTATCCATCTACCCCACTGATGTTAAATTAATCTTCACAAAGCATGGGTCTGATCATCCTACTCCTCTGCTCAAAATTTTTCATCGGCTCCCATCTGCCTACCAAATAAAGTGTGACCACTTAACCTTGATCAAAATCCCCTGCAGTCTGCTGCCTGCCTCCTCCTCCACCCTTCTCATTACTCTTTTTCACCTACCCTCATGCTTGAATTTCCTGCTTATGTGACATTGACCTGGCTGTCTGCCTTTACACCCCCCCTCCCCCTTAAACTCTGCCCTCACTCCCCAACCAGCGTGGCTGCCAGTCTGCACTGGTCTAAATCTCTCTTTCCTTTAAGATCTACTCAAATCCACCGCTATCACAAAGCCTTCTCTGATTTCCCTTCCCACACCTCTTGCGGGCAACAATTTTTCTCTTTTCTGCACTCCTGTAGTATCTTAGAGTTTCCTCTCTGAAAGTGTTTCAGCCCTCTCTACCTGACTGTGTGATTATTTACACTCCTGCCTTCACTCCCACTGAGATTCTTCAGCACATCATGAGCAGAATCAGTGGCTGCGGGAGGTTTGCTTAACCCACAGTACTTAGTACAGGGCCTGGTGCACAGCTGCTCCGTAAATGTTTCTGGAATAAAACATCTGTTTGCTTCTCCAAAACATTTATTTTGAAAACGTTAACTGGTTGCATTTTTTAAAAACAGTATTAACAAATTTAAGTATTTACCTCTGATCAGTTTTGAGGGAAAATAAACCTGTTCATCTGTTCTGACTAATCCAAGAATAGATATATCTTTTTGTAAAATTTATGCCCTAAATCAGACATTTACCTGCTTGCTATATTTTTCTTAATATGTATTAGTTTGGTATATAGAAAATATCCAAAGAGAAAACGATGAGGATATCATTGAAAATATAGGTAAAAAAACAGATGCATTTAATGCCACCTGAGAACCAGTAACACAGTAAATGAATCAGCCTGAATTTATTTCTAAATATGCAAAGAGTAGTGACTCACATCCGATATGGTACAGAGCAATTCAGACGTACAAGGCACAGGAAAATGTGTAATAGTTTCAGGAGGTATTTTTATTATCCACTGACTAGAAAAGGCACAAGTTTACGGTACAAAACACCGATGTCTGAAGGATGTGTGAATATAAAAGGCATTATTGTTACAATATATGTTTTTATATGTTTTACTTCTTCAAGAAGATGGGTCTGAGGAAAATTAACAAACATGTCTGGAGAATTCTCTAAATTGTTAAGGGAAGGTAGTACTTATATACAAAATTTGCATAGGAGAATTAAGTATAGTTTACGTTAATTATCAGGCATTGCTTAGTAAATTGCCTGACTTACATGTCTGTTGATTCACTTCTGTATTTTACATCTCATTCCAATGGCATTTGAAGCCAGTCTTAGATTATAAGTCAATTGATAGCCAGATTCCCTGTTCAGATTAGATCTCCTGATAAAACAAGGTAGTTTTACCCGTTTTCCTTTCTGTTTAATTTTTTTTATAACTGTATTTATGGGTAGTGTGCTCAAAGTTTCTTCATGGTTTTATTGAATAGTAAAGTGTAATAAATAGACTTTGCCAAGTGCTGTGTCATACTAGAGACCTAAAATTCTTTATTGCTTTGCCAACAAAATATATTCTTCTCCTTTGGCTTTATTGTAGGTTTGCAGTGTAGGTATAAACATAGTAAACAGTTATTGTTTTAAGCAAATGGTCTTGTTTTCCTTTTATTATTCTCTTCCATGCTTTTAAAACATAATTTTGAGATTCTTTTAAATACAAAAAGGGTACAAAGAATTTTATTATGTGTTCGTATATTCACACCAGAGTTGATGGTTATAAATATTGACTCATTTGCTTCAAGCCCTTTTCATAAATTCAGTGTATTTTTAAAGAGCAGGCTCAGTAAGGCGCACCCATGAGGAGCAGCTTCCCCCGCCCCCCGCCCCAGCAGCCACCCTCCCTCCTGCAGAGGCAGACCAACTGCACGAGGGCTTTTCCTTTCAGTGTATTTAGCATACACGTATATATCCATGAATAGTACATGGTTTTGTTTTGCATTCTTAACTTGCATGAACCGGTACCACTATGTGTGTAGAGACCTGGAAAATTAATTTTACTTTATAATTTTACATGGTTCTCCAGAGGAGACTTTCCGTTTTCCCACTTCCTTAACTCTACCTAATATCATCATTATTTAAATTTTTGGCCTATTTGCTAGATGATAGTTTGTTGTCTTTATTCGTGGTTTCTTGATTGCTATACTAATGTAGGGTCTCATTATTCTTTAAAAAGAACTTTCACTCTATTAAATTGATGATAGACAGAGGTGGGATTTTGTTTAGCAGTTTTTTGATGTCCACATTTGTAGAGGGAAAGTCCAGAGCCTGCAATATGATGCTGTGTGTCTGGAGGGTCTACTGTTTGCAAGCCTAACTGTAGCCCAGAGTGTACCAGCTGTTCTTCAGTCTCCTTTGCGGCTTCTCACATGTCCAGCTTCCAAATGTAGGCCCCAGGGCTGTGGTCTCTGATCTCCCCTCTTTGCTGTCTCTGCTCACGCCCTAGGTCACCTCATCCAGTCTTCTGACCTTAAATACCATCTGTGTGCCAAAGACTTCCCCGTTCACTCTGGACTAGCCTCTCCTTCCACCCACTTGCCATCTCCACTTGGGTGCCTAGCAGGCATCTCAAGTTTGACGAATCCCAAACCCCTGCTTGAGCCCTTAGCTCTAAGAAGCCCACTTCCCCTACAACTTCCCATCCTTCTGGCTGCTTGCCCAAAATCTTGAGGCCATCCTTGATGCCGTCTTTCTCTCGTTTTGCCTCTAATTTACCAGTTAAACCTCTTGGCTCTTCCTCCAAAATGTCTTCAGAATCCAGCCACTTTTAACCACCTCTGCCACCCCACCCCGGTCAGAGTTACCATCATGTCTTACTGCTTCTGGCAGTTCCTGACTGTTCTCCGCAGTTCAGTCCTGCCCTTTACAGGCTGCTTTCAACATTGCAGCCAAGGTGGTCTTTTAAAAATTATGTCATTCCTTTGCTTAAAACCCACCAGCGTTTTCCTTTCTGCCACAACCTGGAGCTCTCTGGCCCACTCACCCTTCTTCGCCTCCGTCTTTCTGAGGTGTGTGTGTGTGTGTGTGTGTGTGTGTGTGTGTGTGTGTAAACTTCTTCATTCTCTTACTACCAGCATTACTTCTGCCCCTTATCCTATTTTATTTTTCTCCATAGCACTTATCACCACAAACAGATGTGTTGTATGTATGTGTGTGCTTATTATCTGTTTCTTCCAATGGAAAATAAATTACATAATTACATTGTTTTGCTTACAACTCTATCTCCATCTCCTTACAATTGTGCCCACCAAATAGTAGTTAATAAATAGTTGTTGACTGAATGAATGTCTAGAAAAAAATGCCCTATAATCTTATAGGAAAATAATTCAATATTATTATTTTTAGAATTTGATAATGTGAGTTTTCTATTAGATTTCTTCACCAAAATCAAATGGTAGCTACAACACAGTACATTTTACCTATGAATAGTGTATATGTTATGTGGCCATGGTCACTGTAGGTGCTGTTAAAGTGACAATGACATTTGTTTGTTCATTTGTTATTTAGTGGTCTTGGATTCAGAAGACTAGAAGATAATTTTTTTTTTTTTTTTGTAGCTGGCCAGTATGGAGATCCAAACCCATGACCTTGGGGTTGTAAGGCTGAGCTCTAACCAACTGAGCTAACTGGCCAGCCCAACTAGAAGAAAATTTAAGTTTTCTGACTATTCCATTTTCTCATCCTTGGTAGTGATCTTTCCAGATTGATAAAGATCTGTCCTATTTTTTGGTAACTCCAGAGAAGAAAAGTTTATCCTCTTTTTGAATGATTCATTTATTTATTTATCACTTCAGCAGCTATTCAATACATGCACACATTTTTGTCCTCCAGGTCCCTGGCTGTGATGTTGGGATGGTTCACTTCCCAAGGCTGGGACCAGCAGACAGATCAGGGGTGGCCAAGTTGGCTGCAGAACGATGACTAAGGGTATCACAGAAGGAAAGGGAGGGATTTATCTATCCTTACGTTGCTTTACTTGCAAAGGTATCTGTGAGGGGCTGGGGTAAGGAGGGATAAGCATTCTAGACCAAGGGACTTGTTTGGGCAAAGGTCCCCAGGTTGGGAGAGAGGATGGGGGTGTAAGAGTGTAAATGGGACAAAGGACGAGAGAGCTGGACAGGGCCCATACCTGGGAAGGGGGCTGGGGGACTGGCACCGCTAGGCTTGGGAGTCATAGGGGAGGCACCCACTCTAGGTTTATACTCTGCTCACTGATCCTTAGATATAAGCAGGGTCTCTGCCATATGGCAATTTATACCAATTTCTTCATGTCTTGACACTTGAAAACCATTATTTTGTATATCTAACTTTTTAGTATTTTTATTTATCAATAAAATAACATAGTATTTCTTTGGTTACAGAGTCTGATTTTTTTGTGACAACTAAAGTCCTTTAAAGCCATTGCCTCTTTAGGACCATTTATATCTGACTTTTGTCCTGGATTATTTTCTCAAATGTTCTGGAAACAAGGAGACAAAAGATAATAGGACTTTTAATCTGTGACCCTGGAATTTTCATTGTTGAGGTTTGTTTTGGGGGGTTTTGTTTGTTTTTTGCTGTTGTTGCTGTTTTATTTTGTAGTGGGAATTTAGACAATAATGAGTAAAAGAAACTTGATTTCATTAAGTGGATAATCCCATTCAGCAACAATAATATTAAATAATGCCACAGAACAAAAACCTT